ATGCAAAACGTCTTGATTTTAATCCAATTAAATTTAGAAAATATTTGGACTTTAAACGATTCACTAATATTTAACTTGAGGCACACTTCAAAAATAATTTATAAAAATAATTTTTCGTTTCCCAATAAGTGCCCTCTAATTAATTAGTAATCAAATCCAATTAATTTTCATAATTTAACTAATATAAATCAAGCCATTTAAATAAATATCATGGATCCAATGCATGAACAATAATAATTAGCAATTAATTATTTCATGTTTCACATACAACAATAAACGACAGATAAAGCAAATTAAATGGCCAATGGATTCAGCTTTTAACATTTAATTACTCTAAGTATTGCGCGAGGATCTTCCATCAGCTTGCAAACACCCGCAGGAGGTTGATACGCGCTAGGAGAAGCAAAACACTGCTTGGAACGCGACTGGAGGGCCCCACACGTGCTCACACGCGCCTGGGGCATGCTGCAGGTGAAGCCACGCGCCCCCACGCGCTGGCACGCGCCTGGGGCGCGTGGGACGCGTCCCCACGCGCTGGCACGCGCGTGGGACGCGCCTCCACGCGCCTGCACGCGCGTGGAGGCCATACACATTTGGCTGGCGTATGCAATGCACGCGCCAGCATATGTCACCTCCTGGCGCGTGTTCCTCACGCGCCAGGCTCACCCCACCGCTGCCACACCTGATTCTAGCCTCCTCCGACGTCTCTTCTCGCCGCCGGTGATGCTCCGGCCACCGGAAAAACGCCGAAAAATCCAGAAAAAGTAATAAAAATTTCCAGAAATTAAATTAGGCCTTAAAAAATTCCAGAAAAATTCCGAAAAATTGCTAAAAAATCCCAGAAAATTTCTGAAGCCTAATTTAACCCTCTTGGACCTTCTTGAAGCTTCATAGCATCCTTTGATGAATATTACATGGCTTTAAAAATATTTACAACTTGAAATATAATGGGAAAAATAAATTACATCATTGAACTTTCAAACGGCTAAATCAAAGCCTTAATTACATTCATCCAAAGATAAAATTACATGTAATATTCCTATAAGCTTCATCCATGGCCCAACCATACATCATTATTCATTCACAATTATTCATACATCATCATGTATCAATATATATCAACATATTAAAGCATACATCAACATACATCAATAAAAATATATATGAATATAATTTTGGATCCATGAATGATAATTTTCATAAAATCATGATCTCTAATAATGAATCAAACCATGCTCTGATACCACTGTTGGGAAACGTGCTAGTTTTAAAAATTTTTCGAGGGATTTAAATTCATAGATCTTGATTCATCACATAGAGACAAGTTTTATGCAAAAAATAAAATAAAATATGATGTATTATTCAACTAAAAAATTGAATACCTACATCAAGGTTTGAGTAAACCTCAGATCTCTCCTCTAAAGTGAATGTTCTCACTTATTGTAGATCCCTTTTGCTAGACATCTTTTCCATGGATCTCCATCTTCTTGGTAATGGTCTTGCCTTTAGGAATCACTCATAAGCCTCCTTGAATGACCTTGGAAAACTAGGCTTGTGGGAGCCTCCATTAGATGAGAACATAAACCCTAATTTTTTAGAGAGAGAAAATTTATTCCTTTTTCCTTCTCATAAAAATCACCCCCTAAAATATACATAGACCATGTATATTTATAGGCAACATAAAAATAAATAAAAGGAAACAACAAATCCTTCTCCATCTCTAATTCATATGTCTCAAATCTAATATGATTCAAATATCAAGTTGGGCTATGAGTGAGAATCCATTGGGCCTATTATTTTATTGGCTACAATGAATTAATAATTGGCCCGGTCCATGGACCCAATTCAATTAATTCATAAATTAATTTCTACTCCACTAAAAGAAATTAATTGAACTCCAATTAAATAATAAATAACCTCTAAGTCAATATTGCACTTTGACCCCTCTATGCATAATTAGTTATCGGATAAATATAGCCATCAATCCGACTACTTAATTAATATATTTATTTTGGTACCTTTGATTATTTCTGGCTCGATCACAATAAAACATTTGTTTGACAAAAATAATAATTTAAATAAATAAATATATAATAAATCATTTTGTCTAAAAACACACGAAGGCCTTCGAATTTACTTTGTGATCAACCATAATCAATACAAAATAAATACAAGTAGCAATGATGCAAATATTGAAAATATAACCCTCTAACTATTAATTACATAACTACCCAAAGTGCCGGTCTAAGGATCCCGAAGAATCCGCCCGAACAAATCAAAGTAATTATTAATTAATAAAAGAGTCTATACTTTTCTCATGCTTAAGAGTCAAATGCCATGACAGTGATAGGGAGTAATTGCATACGACGGCTCTCGCAATATATCTCAACCTAACGCGGATCCAGTTCAAGTCTTAATTAATTATGAGTCCATCCATAATTACCGACTGTGAACAATTTATAATTACTATTTATATATCATGCATTGATTGTCATCACATACATATATATAAATATTTCTTGTAATTAACTGGACACTATCAATTTCATAGTGAATTGAAACATAATACATTGAATTCACCAATTATATAAATCATAAATATTTCAGATATGTCAGGAACATATGTCAATACAATCCAGATAGGAATTTGCTATGCCAGGGCATATAAATCCCAACACCCAGAATCTTAGTGAATGGTGGAGATGGGGTTTCACAGATTTTTATATGGTCTCGGATTAATGGTCCCGGTAAATCACACAAACAACATAAAAATAAAAAAATTGAATTGAAAATGACATAAATTTGATACATTTATTTATGTGTCGTAATTGATCCGGAATTAATGATTCGGGATCATGTAATAATTTATTGAGATATGTTCCTTGAAAATTTATACATTTGTCTCCACCGAGACCTAAATCTCTAACTTTCTTTTGAAAAGTAAACACTTAATACCGCTAAACTACTGACCCGTTAATCATTTTTCTTAAACACAACACATGTTCAAAAGCAAATTCTTTTTAATTTCCTTTTCAACTCTCTTTTCTCATGGACCCCTTTATATTAATATTCTTACCATGTAAGTAAAGCATCAATGATTATATCTTGAGCAAGAATGTCACAATAAATCAAATTCTTTTCTATAAAAAAAATATTTATTTATTTGTTAATTAATTTAACTCTTATGTTCCTTCTGTTATTTCATCAAGCTTAACTGGCATCAAGGTATTGTTACTTCTATTTTTTGCTAAGAAGATGGTGAGCTCATCAGGTTCTCTAAAACTTGGTTTCTATATCCAGAAGGTGCGAATGGGCCACTAGCTCAATGTTATAATCTTTCCTCCCTCGAAAGAAGGGTGAGGAATTCAAATAAACGCACACATATCCTAATATTCTTCCTAACAAAACTCGATTCATGCTAGCATTGATATCTGCATTTTTTCTTCAACACATTCAAGGGAAGCTCTTCAATCCCGACCCTAAATCGTGGTAATTCATAACTAAAAATATAGCTCAAGCTCAAGTTTCTCAAAGGTTAGATTTTAATTGTTCAAAGAATATCCTGAAGCTAGAAAATGGAAAATTTTGCAAGTCCCAAATTTTTTTTTTTTCTTTTATTATAGTAAATTAAAAGAAATGTAATTCAAACACGGACACACCCGTTCAAAAACTGGATTTTTTATCAACTAGTATAAAACCGGAATGCTCACCTCGTGCCATGGGGCTCATGGCCCATTGGTATGTTACTTTAGCAATCCAACAGCGCCCAATGGGGTTACAATAATCCAAAGGAAAGCTACCGATGCTGGACTTAAACCCAATTTGAAACCATAGGAACTGTATCACAGTAACCATGCATGTGTGTGTGTGTGTATCAAATTGGATAAGTGACTTGGACAGTGAGCCTGTTGAATGGATTAGACAGGTCCCATACTGACTCCCTCCTTGTCCAATTGATGATGTCCGTTGAACTCGAACACTGTCCTTTATCACTTCTCATTTATTTTTGAAAATTCAATAAACTTCCAATATCTTTAATTAATTTAACAAAAAATGCAAATATAAAGTATGCAAACTTGAGTAAAAAATTACTGAAATAATCCAATTTAATGGGTAGATTTATATATATATATATATTCCAAATATACCATATTAAATCTTTTATTTTAAAAAATTAAAAAATATATCATTAAATTACTAGTCTTGATAAGAAGAGTCCACCACCCACAATTCCTCTTGACAACTTGCCCTTGGGTTCATGAGCAGGAGGATTAATAATAATTGAGAAATGATTGATCCTTCGAAAGTGAAAGGATAAACTTGTATTCAAATGTCGTGATTGATCCTGAAAGTGAAGGGATAAACTTGTATTCAATTGTCGCGTCAAATTGTTTTCCCGTGTCTCTTGTATTCGCCGTACACTCATAAGGTCGCTACAATAAGGGTCTAGCGTTCGGATTGGCCAAACTTCCAATTAGATTTGATACCATTTGTATTGGCCAAACTTCCAATTAGATTTGATACCATTTGTAATGGTTCACTCAATCACATGATATGATATTGTCTGTTTTGAATCTGAACCGGCACGATTTTGTATTTAAATTTATTTTTTAAAAGGTCTCATATCATTTGCAATGTACAACCCTACATGCCTAATGCTTCTCCTTTTCACATTTAAATAATATGAGATTATATACACGTAGCTCGTTCAACGTAATAGTCTATTAATGTCTCTTGCATCCATCAATGACGCACCCACCCACATGTCCCAAAGAGAAATTGATAATGATCTAAAGGTAAGGCGTGAGGGAGAGAGAGCTTTCAGCATTGGCTTGGTGGTAATGTCCTTATCATGTACCAAAAAGAGTGCCAGAGAACCCATGTTATTGTTGTAGTTTGTGGTTCACTTTTTCACTGCAAAGTATGTGACCACTTCGTTACCAAGCTTACTCCATAGTTTAATAGAGAGAAATTCAATCACAACATGTCACACAAATGAATTTATTCGGTGGTGAAATAATTTCTCGCATATCTATTATCTTACTGAGCGTCCACCACGCGCAAGAAATGAGCGTGGATTTAACAGTCTCTCTTATAACATAGTTTGGCAAACAAAATAGTACTGCTACCATCCTTAATAGACATCGTCATCTTACCAACCTATCTTATTTCACAATTTAACTAAAAAAATAATAATAATAAAACGAGAATACACAATACACAAAGATATGAATATCTCAACTCTAGAGAGCGAAAATCTAAATTCTAGGAAGAGAAAAAAATATATATATATATATCTATATATAGAGAGAGAGAGATATAGACAACGTCACAATATTCAAGGAATCACAGGACCAAAGCTCTTACACTCCATTAGGGACTTCTGTCCCCCACCCTGACAAAAGAAGTACCTTAAGGGACACCGGTACAAGCAGTTGTCCCCTAACCGCACCATAACCGACCCGGGTTTCAGCTCCATTAGAGGACGCGGTATGGGTCCGAACAAGTAGTTCCCACCCAACAACAGCCTCTGAAACGGGGAGACCCCGTTACCCGGTACGGCTAACTTCAGGGCGTACTGGGTCGGAATCATACCCGACAACTTGTTGTTCTCCAATGACAATGCCGAGAGTTTCGGCATCGAACCCATGAACCCGGGTAACAACCCGCGGATCTCATTGTTGCTGAGGTCCATGGCTATGAGCCCGCTTTCCTGACCCGAGTTTCCCGGCCATTGGACCGACCCGAATCGGTTGTAGGCGAGTGTGACCTGTTGGAGAGACGGGTGAGTGAAGAGAGACCACGGGACTGACCCACTGAGTTGGTTGTGACTCAGGTCCATCACTTGCAAATAAACCAATCTCGTGATATTCGCGGGAATATTCCCTGCCAATTGGTTGCCTCGCATAGAGAGCTCAACAAGGGAAGGTGGGAGAGTCGCCGGAAGCTCGCCGGAGATGGCATTGTCACTTGCGTCCAAGAAATAGAGGTTACTGAGTTGACCCAGATCAGGAAACTCACCACTGAGTCCGTTGCCTTGAAGTTCGAGCCTTTTTAAATTCTTCAGACCGTTGAGACTCCAGGGGATTGTCCCTTGTAAATGGTTGTTATCGAGGTAAAGCTCTTCCAGATTATAGAAAGACCCGACTGAATCGGGTATGGACCCGGATAGCGAGTTGCGCGAGAGACTGAGTCGCTGAAGCCGAGTCAGGTTCGAGAGCGAGTTGGGAATCCACCCAGAAAAGAAATTATTGGAGAGGTCCAGAGTTTGTAGGTAGGGAAGGTTCCAGGAGGCGGAAGTGAGTGAGCCGGAGTAACCCGCCTGGTCGAGAGCGAGTTCGGTGACTCGGCTGGTGTTGAAGAACACGACGTCGCAGCGAAACCCACAAGTGAATTTTTCGCTGAAGAGGTTGTCGCATGGATCGACGGTGAAGTCCCAAGAACTCAAACACGAGCCTTGACTCACTGAGTTGGCGTCGAGTCCGTTCTTGAACTCTTTCAATGCCTCTATATCTTCCCAGTAAGTCGTTGAATGTGCTTCAAAGAACAAATCAGTAACTGTTATAATTAACAGGATTAAAAAAGACAGAGAAAAATGGGAATTACCCATTTCTGATAGTTTCAGTAACAAGAGGTTGAAGATGATGAGATAGAAGGAGCACAAGTGAATATGTTCTTTAGATTGAGTGTGTGAGAGAGAGAGAGAGAGAGAGAGGGCTTTTGGGTTTGGGGTGTTTGCTAAATTGGTTCGGAATTCAGAGATCTTTTGGTGACTCCTTTCACGGGAAATTGTCAGTGTCCTTTTTCTGCTGTCATTTTAGTATATGTCTGGATTTGAGGAGAGAGAATGTGTGCGTGCGTGTGTGTGAGAGAGAAAGACTTGGTTACATTGATCATCAGCTTATATGACGAAATAAACAGTCCATTATTGTCCACCCGAGTAATTTTTTATGCAATTAAAAAATTAATACAACCTATCAGGAGGGCGCAGGGCGGAGTGTAAAAAAATATATATATTATAATTTAAATAAAAAGAACATTAAAAAAAAAAATTACATATCATATATATCATTCTTAAGTGCAAAAATAAAAATATTAAGAAGCAAGGGAAAAAAAAAAGGAAAAGGAAAGAAAAATGAGAACCTGTTCTCATTTAATAAAGAAGGAAAATTTAACATTTTTTTTAAGGAAATCAAAAGAATATTTAGAGCAAAAAGAAAAAGGAAAGAAAAATTTAGAAGATAATTTTAGAAATTAAAAATTTTAGGGGCATCATATAGAATTTTTTTTATAAATTTAAAAATAAATTAAAATATTACTATATTTTATACTAGGCTAGGCAAGGGACATTTGCCCCCACTGGGCATTAATTCACGTATAAGTAATATAGTGGTTAAAGAATTAGATTTTTCAGCGTTTTTAAATTTATGCTTAAATCAGAATCTTATTAGATGGTTTACTATCACTTAGTTCTGCTCAATCAAAAAATACACTTAATAAAAATATTTGAATAAAGTTGACATATTTAGTTGTGTGTTATCTTCAGTTTGAATTGAATCACAAGATCTCAAACCATCTAATAATTTATCATTTTATACCGTGCACCATCTAATAATGTGACAACGTTTTAAATTCAGAATACAACCTACTATATTGGTAATGCAACATTTATATAACACTAATATAAACACTTATACAACATATTATATCCAAAGACAACTCTAAAACAACCATTACACACCTAAGGAATATCAATGTTAGTTGTTGGAATTATGTTTGCAATTTTTTTTTCTTTAGTTTTTAATCTTAGTTATGTGTATGTTTATATATATATATATATATATATATATATAAAGAACTTTTATGCAATTAAATGAGAGAAAATGTATTAGCAGATCACACAATTTCTGAATCCTAGTAATCTAGTATTGTCTTATTGATTGTGGTTGTTGCCATTGAAGCACATGGACAAGTTGTTGAGAAATTATGTCTTACTTGAGTGACAAACTAATTGGTTTAGGGTTACCATATCTGACTGTAGCACGGTCCCACTAGGCATAATGCATACCAAACTGACCCCATAATACATTAATAGAGGTACATCTCTTCAATGTGTAAAAAACACACAAACACACACAGTGTGTGTGTGTGACTATATGATAATTGTGTACCTCATAACTACATTGAGGAGATCATTATGCATAATAAAACACGAGTTGTTAGGGTTTGGAATCAAATCGCAAGACATAGTGGCATCCACTGTGTTGTATAGTTGTTACAAGACTTTCCAATTAAGCCGTTGGTTGTTTTTAATGGTTTGGTCCCCATAATGTGAAAAAACAAAAAAAATTATAAAATGGTGGTTGTACTATACCCATCTATTATTGGCTTTGCTGATAACAAACATTGAATTTTCTACAGGTCTTTCCATCACATATGTCCCCATTAGTTGTTACTTCCATGAAATTCTCTCCAAGAACTTTTTATTAAACAAAAATAAAAAAGAGAGTATGTTTTTAGGTGAATATTATTTTATTTTATTTATGGTTGTGTGTATCTATATATTATATACACACACATATATTTTTGTGATTTTTAAATTCTCATGCATGAGGTGATGTTTTCAATATTTCTTTATGAGATTACTCCTTTAAACTTTATAATCATGTCCTGTGCTTAACAAGATTTATAGGAAGTAATTGAAGTTCAGAATGAACATCATACAATCATTATTCTTGTCTTAAGAATTTTATTTTTTCATTCTTTTTTTATTACAAGCTATTTCACTTTTGTAAAAAAATATATATATATATTTTAAATTTTGATTAGCATGAAGATAATGGAATTATTATTCATGTTATCCATGTATTAGGTGAGCTGCATCATAGCTTATATATTAAGCAAAGTGAGGAAGATATATAATGATACAAACTTTAAGAATCATTGCCAGCAAAATCAATTCATATCTTTTGGGGGAGTCCTTTCTTCTGTTGACACATAGTTATGTCACAATAATCAAGAGCCATAGGCCCACATTGCAAAAATTGTGATTGAAAATAACATTTCCACAACTAAAACTAAAAAGTGGGACCTTTTTTATTTTTTATTTTTTATTTTTTTAAATCTTATAATTCAATTGTGAGCCCAACTCACAAGGATGATCATTTGAGGTATTATGGTTAAACAGTGCTTTGGAGATTAATCTAGAAGACCGTTTTGTATTACAAATAACGATCATGATTACTCACGGTGTTGTTACAATAGAGAATCTGATAACCTTATCTCTTTATAGTATGCAGAAATATTATCCCTTCGTAATTTGTACAAATATTATCGAAAGTAAGGTGTCTCTCCCAACACTAATCATGATGTAGCCTATAAATAGCTAGGACCACATACTCCCGAACGAGCTAATAATTTCTCCAAATCCTCTCAATATGATCCATGAATTTTCATCATTGGCGAACAGGACCCAATAGTTTGAGTCCATTTAAGACATCTATGTAGTGTTTGAGTCCATTTAAGATATCTATGTAGGGTTTGAGTGCTAGCACCACCATTTGTTGGACCCTACACAATTATGTTCCAAATATAGATTAATGGTAAAGAATAGGGCTCATAAGTTTGAAATTTATATTGCGTGATGAAAACCATGCCTTGGTGTCACCCAACTGCAAGACAGGCTTGTGGTTAAAGTGTAATTACACTCACCAATTTTTGTTTTCTTTCCAACTTGACCAATTGGTGTAGAACACTAAACACTAACCACCATCATGATTCATGATGGCTCAGGCCATGCCAAATACTTGTTATTATGTTAAACATGGGACAAATCTGAAAAAAGTGAGAATCAAAAAGAAAGAATAAACTAGTACTAATACACACAAAACCAAGCTTTTAAGAAATGTCTTGCCCTCTTGGCATGTACACTGCCCTAAATTTGTTTTTTTATCTTTTCATATTTTATCTCTTTTACTGGGAAGTAACAAAAACTTGATTCAACAACAAACATCTTCATTGGAAAGGCCTGTTTAAGAATTAGGAGTGAGTGAGTCTGTTGGAACTTGGGATATATATATATATATATATATATATATATATATATATTCACCAAAACTAGCACGCACTCATAATAACAGATCTCGAAAACGTAACTCCTGTTGGAGAGGAGAGATCGTACCATCTGAGCTAATGTCCATAGGTAACCGAATACTAATACTTCATTTTCAGTAATGATGATTTATAGGGCAAAGAATTGTATGTTAGGCAGCCACTAGAAAGCAAGGAAAACAAAGGAAAGACAGATGGATAAGCAACATAATGTGGAAAATCTTCCTAACCACCAAAGAAAAAAGTTGAAGAATGGCTTTTTTAAGCAAATCCAACAACCACATTCCAAATAAACAAAGAGACCAGCCTATTTGAAAACTTATAAAGCATCCTTCCAACAATACCAGACAGCTAAGATGTTGTAAAGCATCTTAACAGGTACGACCCGGCATTCACGAGTTCAGGTTTAGGGTTTTACAGCTAAAATGGTGGAAAGCATGAACTGGGCATGTCGTGCCCCTTTGGAGTGACTTCACCATAAAACCTACAAGAATCAATGCTAACCATCTTGCTGCTCTAAACTATGGTTAAAAATCACCACATCGGCAATAATGAAATTAAACAAACACAGGAATGTTAACTTTGATGGCTCTCTTATTTCAGTCGGTCTCTCAAAATATCGACCAACAGCATACATGAAAGCAGAATTCCTGACATTCACTGCACCTACTCATGGATGATATGGGCTTTAACAAAATTAGACAAAGTATTCCAGCTGTGTCCGAACAACATATACAAATTCCAAGGTGGTGGCAAGGGACCGATCAATTGGTCATATACATAAATCAAGAAAAGATTCTATAACACTATTGTTGGGTAGAATGTACATTCTAATATTGGGCAGTATATAGATGCTTCTGTAAGAAGGGTAAACTAATACAACAAAACACTAATTTATCTTTAATACTGGAAAACAGGACGCACCTTCTGACAGCATTACTCCACTCATAATTACCCCTCAGCCGACCATTCGAAATTGGTATGCTTTCCATGGCTTTTTATGGCAATGTTATCCAAGTACCGCCTCACATATTTGTGGTTCGTTTCAAACACAAAACTCATTCCCCTTATCTGCATATTCACCATTTGCCACAATTTTTTCGCATTGTCAAAATTGAATGTGCATCAGTGCAAGTATTATAATGCAACAGTGACACAAGATGAAGCTCCAAATGAGGACAATCGATCAACTAATAAAAAATGTCATAGTTTTGTCATATACATGTCAGCACAAGCAGAGCCCGTCGTCATGGTTTTATACTGAGGTGCTATCACTATAGCCAAATTCTACAACATATTTTCTTGGATATCACTCAGGTTTAAGGAAGTCACATGGGTGGGTAACCAAAACTGCAACATTAGCCACACCATCACCCATGCAATGTCTAGATATTATATGATGAAAATACTAATGCAGACAGGCAAACGCAAAACAGTGCCATTGCAGACTACTTGCAAAAAATCCTTTTGTAACATACTGGCATGGAAATGCTTAGCTGTAATTAACAATGAGCTACACTAAATTAAGAAAAAATCATAAATGAGAAATCAACTCATTTTGGGCACCAAAACTTATTTAGTATATGTGTGTGTGCCGGCTACTTCAGAGAACAAGAAGTGAATCATGAAACATAAATCCTAGGATAAAGGAAGCTGAATAATTGGAAATTGCATTGAACTAACCATGCGAGAATATCAATCAAATTCAGAATTAAGATTGGAAAGTAATGTACCTCAATCAAGCAACTTGTACTAAGACACACTGACTGTCCAGTTTCAATTTCTTTGCCATTAACTGAGATTGAACTCTTCCCAAGATTTTTATAAAAGAAAGATCCATCTCCTCCCATCTTGATAATTCCCTAAGCAGATACAACGAACAATAGCTATGGTGACATATAACTCAAGACAGTAAGGAATTCCAAGAAACTTTTAGTGTGTCTGACAGAGCAAAATCATGCTATAAAAACAAATGACATAAAATTCATATATTTGGCCAACTTATTGCCCTTGTGCTCGCCGTAAAAATAACCAAATTAAACAGAAATAAATACGGAGTATTTCAAATTTGATTCTAAATGGCAGATAATATTGCTTGACAAAGTCTGTCAGTACTAAAGTTTTCTCTACAACAGTAAACGACTAGATTAAGATATCCTGGCCTTCTGGAATAGTTACATTTTCCCTTTATTGCCTTGTTTTCTGCCAAATCATCAAAGTGAATAATATTGCTGGTACGATAAAATAAATAAACATTTAGATAAAAGAAGCAATCACTTGATTAAGCAGTTAGCTGAAACCCTTTTTTTCCTTTCTCCTTTTTTTTTTTTTTTCCCCGTGTGTGTGTGTCGGAGGGGGTGGTGTTAGAGAATGAACACCTTTATTTTTTTCCCCTGCAGGAAGCATTAGCAAGAAAACTACCACCATATGGTCAATGTATCAGCACCTAGTTGACACTACACATGCCAGACATTAATTCAAACAGTAAAAAAACATGCCATTTTTTTTTGTTTTTGTCTGAAGCATGTCAAATAACATGCCCCACCTTGAAGAACCATAACAGTATTTTTTTGAAAATTGAATATATGGATGATGCTCAAGTCTTTTTTATTTTTTTTTTGGGCTTCTGAAACGTGTAAAATAACATGCGTACTATGCCCCCTGGAAGAACCATAATAGTATTTTTTTTAAAAATTGATTATATGCATGATGCTTGGAACCTACTAAATAGTAGTTATGTTTTAGCCGACAACTTTTCCTAATTTTTGTCTACGGATTTTCAAAAGATTGCATGGCTTACAAACCATATTTGTGTCAGTAACATGATTCACACATCTCTCCATTGATTACTAGTAAACACAACATACAAGCTCCAAAAGGTCTTTCTAATAATGTCACCTGCCGTCTAGATATTTTGTTAGCACGTCCTTCTTTCCCCAAATCGATATCAACTTTAATATCGTCTGTTGATCTTCCAAGTAAGACCTACAAAGACAAAATAATTGTTCCATCAAGAACAGTAAACAGTCAAGCACAAGAGAAATGGATGGAGGATCATGATATAATAGAGGCCAATTTGGTGTCCATCGACTTACTATCTCACCAAATTGAACATTGATAAGACGACGAATAAATGAAGAAGAAATTGCACAAAAACTCAATTGCCACAAATAAGTTTTCTAAATAAATATAAATTTTACAAATAAGCAGAGTAGTCGACCAAACTAGTTAAAAATTTCATAACCTATATTGCAATACATGTCACTGAATGTAAATGCTAGGGATTTTAATTTGCTCTTTTAAATATAAACCCAGAACCAGTGCGAGTGGGGAAAAAAAGTACACTTAATCAGAGGCAATTTGTTTAATCGACAAAACAAAATTGGCAAATTGGGGAAGGATTTGCTCACAAAGCACCAATTCAAGCTCGGAGCATGAGAGCAGCATCCCTTGTACAAAGATTATGTGACCTAGGTCTCCAAGAATTAACTCAGAAATAGAAGGTAATAAATTAGCTATGTGGGTAAGAATATCAAGTTTAAAATTTCATCTCTGGTCAAGCAGTTTGCTCAGCTGCACAATGAGTCTGATTGGTCATCCTCGCTTGATGGAGAAGTTAACAGCTACAAGAAGCAGACTATACTATATTCATTTCTGCATTGAAGTGGAAGTAGGGATAAATTTCCCTAACAAAGTGTCCCTTGAAGACCCTGCTGGGAGAACATCTAGGAAGTTGAATATTAACATTTTTATTTTTTTGATAAGTAAAAATTGTATAAAAAATCGACAATCTCCTCTAGAATATTAACATTTTCTAACAGTTGTCTTAGTTGTAAGGTATTTGGGTATAGTAATGAGAAGTTATATTAAAAAAAAAAAAAAAAAAGAGAGAGAGAAGTTCTGAAAAAGCTTGTGGAGCTCAAAGACTAAACAAATATGGGCAGCTAAGGAATCAGTTGAAGAAGAAGAGAAACAAGGAACATCAGTGCACAGTTTGACCGAGAAAATGGATCTGAAAGACAAGAAATTATTGTGTAACCAGGAGTAAATATGAATTTTGAAATTTGGGAGTAAAAGCAAGAGATGTGACCTTTGCCTTTCACGGCGTCAAACTCTGTTACTCTGCTGACTGGTTTGGTAGGTGATTTTGATGATGTGAACTGTACCTGATATAATAACAGTTGGCAAACATTTATTGGGCTGGGGTACCATGTATGTTCGATGATGTGGTACCCCTGGGGTACGCATCGATTTCTCTAGAGAGACAGGAGTAGGTTATAGTTGTTAAAGGTGTGCCTAGTCTCCACAAAAGCCCCAGGCTCGTCAAGGCTCACATAAAACTCACATGCTCACACTTTTTCGTAGGTTACAGGCTAAAAAAAAGGGCGCCTTTTACCTTTTAATGATTTGTTCATATCATTTTTCTTTTTTATCAAATGACTACTAAATTATAATGTTCTCTATCATAGAATGATCGTATTTAATGGATCATATTTTTCAATGTTATCAAATATTTGACAAAATCCACAAATTTATGGTTCACTATTTACATTAATTGAATTTAGTGTTTGAATATGAATATTTACGATAATATATGTCTAAAAGTTTGGATAATTATTGTTTTTAATCATTTCAGATTTATAATTGCATTTAATTTGGTTAATGCATATGCATATGAAATGATTTTTTTTTTTTTTTTTTTTATTTTTATAATAAGTAAAATTGTACTAGAAAGCGTTCAAGAGGAAAACGCATCCCAAGAGCTGTACAAGAACCAAGATAAAAAAAAAAAAATTAAAAAAAATAAAAAACATAAGGATCCAAAGACCCCAAAAACTCCTCAACAGAAGAACAATCTCCCCCCATACCCCAACTAAAAAGAGAACAAATAATAGAATACTTAAGAGCCCCAATGGGTAACTCCTTCCCAACAAAAGATCTTCTATTGCGTTCTTTCCAGAGACACCACCAAATGCAGAGGGGAGTCGCCCTCGCGAACTCGAACCCCCACCCTTTGCCCCCTCCAAATATTGATAAGACCCCGTGAGGTCCGAGGCATAACCCACTGAACGCCAAAAGACCCAACATAAGGCTCCAACAGTCATGGGTCACTGGGCAATGCAAGAGAAGGTGGTCCACAGATTCTCCATCAGTAATACACAGACAACACCGATTGACAATGACATGTCTCCTCTTCCTCAAATTGTCCAGAGTCAGGATCTTGCCCCAAGCAACAGTCCAAGCAAAAAAAGCCACCCTAAGAGGAGCCTTCGAATGCCAAACCGTTTTTCATGGATAAGAGGGGGCTTGAAAACCGAAAAGACAGAAGAAGAAAAACTAGACCTAAAAAGTCCCCTGCGAAGAAGGCACCCAAGTCAAAAGGTCCGCCCCAGTGCCATCCACCTTCTGTCGATACAAAAGGTCCAAAAAGGCAGTGACATCATCCAGCTCCCAATCCTGAAAAGCTCGCCGAAACCGAACATCCAAAGAAAACCTACCGCTATCAAGGTGATAGCAGTTGGCAACCAAAGCATGGCAATCCACAGCAATCTTGAACCACCTTAGAAACCGTCGACACAATGGACGATCCTCACACCAAGGATCCTCCCAAAACTGGACACTCCGACCTTCCCGGACTCTAAATCTAATATGCTTAGAAAACTCATCCCATCCCTTCCCAATAGACTGCCACACACCCACTCCGATAGCAGATCTAGTCTGTCTAGCAGACCATCCCCCCCTATCCTCCCCAAACCGACAAGCAACGATCTTCCTCCAAAGTCAATGTCTTTCACTACCAAACCTCCAAAGTCATTTGCCAAAAAGGGCCCTGTTGAAGGGTTCCAACCTCCGAATCCCAAGGCCTCCTGACTTAAGAGGCCTGCAAACCTGCTCCCACCGAACAAGATGATACTTAAACTCCTCCCCCCTACCGCCCCAAAGGAAGTTACGTTGAATCAACTTAAGTCTCCTGGCAACAGAAGAGGGAATCTGGAACAGAGAAAGGAAATAAGTTGGGAGGCTGGACAGGACACTCTTCACCAACGTAACTTTTCCTACTTTCGAAAGATATTGTTTTTTCCATCCAGCCAACCTTCTCTCGAAGCGCTCAATAATCGGGTCCCAACAACCCACCCTTCTTGAGGAGACTCCCAAGGGCAAACCCAGATAAGAAATAAGGAAGGAACTAGTCCTACATCCAAGAACAGCTGCCAGGGAAGACACCTCCTGAACCTCCCCCACAGGGACAAGCACACTCTTGCCCACATTAATTTTCAAACCAGAAACAGCCTGAAAACAAACCAGGACACATCTCAGGTATCTCAATTGGGACACCTCTGCCGCACAAAAAACTAACGTATCATCCGCGAACAGTAAGTGAGAAATCTCCAACTGATGGACTGCCTCAGGACCAATCTTGAAACCCCGAATAAGCCCCAGGGTAAAAGCTCTCCTCATCAACCTGCTAAAAGCCTCCATAATAATAATGAACATAAGAGCTGCCAAAAAACCCGGAAGGGGATCCATTAACCAGCACCGAAAATCTGATAGATGAAACACAAGTAACAATCCATTTCCTCCATCTCTCACCGAAACCCATCCTCTCAAGCAAAAAGAATAAGAAGTTCCAACAAATATGATCATAGGCTTTCTCGATGTCCAGCTTACACAGAACTCCGGGAGCACCGCTACGAAGCCTAAAATCCACACATTCACTGGCAATTAGGGCGGAATCCAGAATCTGTCTGCCCAATAAATGCATTTTGAGACTCTGAAATGACTCCGTCCAAAACACCCCTCAATCTTGAGACCAGGACTTTGGCGATGAGCTTGTACAAACGCCCAATCAAACAAACAGGTCGAAAGTCCTTAACATCAGAAGCTCCCCCCTTCTTAGGAAACAAAGCAATAAAAGAGGCATTCAGAGACTTTTTGAACTTTCCAGTGGAATGAAACTTATGAAAAGTGCCCATAATCTCCTGTCTGATCGCCTACCAGCTTTCCAGGAGGAAACTTATAGTGAAACCATCCGGGCCTAGAGCTTTATCACCATTACAACTCTTCAAAGCCTCCAAGACCTCCTCCTCCGTAAAAGGTCTCTCCAACACATCCCTATCCTTCACTGAAATAGAGTTAAAATGAAGACCATCAAGTCTTGGCCTCCATCGAAGAGGCTCAATATATAACCTCTGATAAAAAGAAACAATCCCCATTCGCACTTCCTCATCAGAAGCCAACAGCGATCCATCCACCCGAATCTAACCAATGTCATCGCCTCTCCTATGAGCATTAGCCGTTCAGTGAAAAAACTTAGTGTTGCTGTCACCTTCTTTAAGCCGCAAGGCCCGAGATTTCTACCGCCACGAGATCTCCTCCATCATCGCAATCTCAGCACATTTAGCCTGACAAGCTGCTCTCCTAAACCGTTGAGACTCCTCAAGGCCTCCCGCCGCATCCAATCTATCGAACTCTGTAATATCAACGAGAGCCCTATTTTTCCTCCACTCCAGGTTATCGAACACCTCCTTATTCCATTTTTTAAGTTTATCCTTCAGAATACGAAGCTTTCCTGCAAGGATAAAACTCGAAGTACCATGTCCTCCTCCCACCAAGTCCGCACCAAACACTGAAAATCTGCCGCTCTAAGCCACATGTTTTCAAATCTGAACGGAGTGCGATGAGGGCTCAAACCTCCACAATTCAAAACCAAAGGAATGTGATCCGACGTCACCCTAACCAACGCAGCCTGAACTGCATCTGGAAACTGCTCATCCCACTCTCCGGAAATCAAGAATCTATCCAGGCGTGAAAAAATAGGCATCTCCCTACCACAAGACCAAGTGAAAGCAGCTCCCTCCAAAGGGAGATCAATAAGCTGATGATCACTGATAAACTCCGAGAAAAGCCTCATAGCCGGATTCCATGACCCACCTGTAGACCTCTCCAATGGGGATCTAATCACATTAAAGTCACCAGCCACACAC